GATTGCATTACAATTTCAGCAACTACAACAAGAACGGGTGAGTCCATTGCTGTTCCATGTAGTTGTTTGTAGTGTGTACCTTTGTACTGGAAGTAAGTCATTTCCTGTACACACAATGCAATGACGTAAGAGCTAGATAACAAATACAGCTAACCTGAAGTTTACTCCTCATTTGACTCTGAAGATGACTACCGCTAAGGTTGTCCAAACGTCAGTCAACAACAACAAAAACAGTCCTTCTCAGGACTATAACAATCTGGACGATCTACATTTACAAAACATGTAACGATACTCTCGGATTCAAACCATTTACTTTAATATGATGTTTGTATTGTTGGTGACTGATTGTGTTTTGAGGTGTTGCGTGACAGCTTCTGCGAAGAAAGTGGATAGTAGTGCTTCCATTGGTGCGCCTGAAATTTGTCTGTACTATGAGGTTTGGAAGGAGAATTCAGTTGAGAGACAAAGGTTAAGTAAGGCTAGGATGTCATTTTTGACTAGCTATGTTGAAGCTTGCCAAGTTTTGTCGTTTGTGAGTAGTTCGTTTGTATTTTGTTTGGCTATGTCATAACACGAATTTTAAAAATTAAACAAAGCTTACCCGTAAGGTGAAGTTTGATTTGAATTCTACGAGTTATTGGTCAGGAACAAAGAAGTCACGTGAGATAGAGCGTGGGAAATCAAAGCATTCAGTTTTTAAAGGACTTTTGTTGTGAGTGAACACAACTCATACAATAATAATAGGGAGGGATGCATAGCTTCAATACATGTCGCATGGTTGGGAATATGACTTCTTTGTTCCTGACCAATGACTCGTAGAATTCTAATCAAACTTCACCTTACAGGTAAGCCTTGTTTAATTTTTAAATTCTACTTCATCATTGGTCAGTTCACAAAGAAGTCACGTAAGACTTTAAAGCAATGTGACCAGGGATATACCGGGCAAAAAGCGAAGTTTAAATATAAATATCAAAGCTACTCCTTTACTAATAAAAAACGGACGCCATTGTTACTATTTCTCGATGTTCTTGTAGCTTATGTTGGTAGATTCGTAAGCGGCTGTGGGCATCTGATATGAGGACGTTTAACATATGGCGGCCGTTTGATTGTGCGATTTGTTGAGCGTAATTTGTTTTTAATGGTGGTTGTTAGTTGATGCTGTTTGGTAGAATTCATTATTGTTTACATTTGTGGAGGAAGTTTAGCTGTTGTTTTGTTAATGTTGATGTTGTTTGTAGTTTTTTAGTCCTTTTTCTTTAGTTGTGAACAAACGACAAAACTTGGAAAGCATTAACATAATTAGACAAAAATGACATCCTAGCCTTTGCCTCCCACAGAATTCTCCTTCCAAAACTCATACTACAGACAAATTTCAGGCACACCAATGGGGTCTTACCATCTAATCATATTAATCCACCCGCTAATCCAATTAGACGCTCTAAACGCCTACAACTTAAAAACAATTGTAAATAATTTCCTATATAAATCTGATGAGGGCTCGAAGCACCAACTCGAAAGATTAATAAAATAATTTTATAAGAATCCGGAGAAACTTGTATTGTTACATTGTAATACACTTTATATATATATAAACCGTTTATCCTATGAATAATTGATTGTGACCAGGGATATACCAGGTGGGAAGCGAATTCTTGATATAAATATTAAAGCCCAGCAAAGTGCTTTTAAAAGAGCCTTTCAATACAAAAATAACGTATAAAAAGAAATATTTATTTAGAAGCGTAGCGTTTCGTCTTGACTCTCAAGACATCATCAGACAGTATCAAATTACTAGTATAGAGGGATGTATTTCTAATAGCTATTTACATAATAATAAATTACATGGTGGGATGAAAACGTGAAAGTAAATATGGCATAAGATGGTATGACGTGGGATGAGTAGAAATCACGAAAGAAACAAAAAACACACACAATCATAAATTATACAGACATGAGGACGGACGAAATTAGATTAAAGCAGCTGAAGGACAATGGAATTTCCTTGGACGTTAAGAGATGGTTTCATTTTGTTGATTAAGAGACTTTCGTGAGTAAAAACTTCTTGCGAGTCTGAGCATGAAGAAAGTATTTTAAAATCCTCGAAGGTGGTGGTGTGTCCTGTGGATTTATAGTGTAAAAGTATGGAGGAATGACAGGGATGTTTAGAAGGTTTACCAGTCAAAGGGGTGATGCCTAAATGCTCTGAAATTCGAGTGTGGATATATATATAATAGCTATTTACATAATATTAAATTACATGGTGGGATGAAAACGTGTTAGTAAATATTGGATAAGATAATATAACGTGGGCTAAGTAGAAACACGAAAGAAACAAAAAACAAACAAAACACACACAATCACAAAGTATACAGACATGAGGACGGACGAAATTAGATTAAAGAAAATATAGGACAATGGAGTTTCCTTGGACGTTAAGAGATGGTTTCATTTTGTTGATTAAGAGGCTTTCGTGAATAAGAAGTTCTTGTGAGTTTGAGCATTAAAATTCTCGAAGGTGGCTGTATGTCCTGTGGATTTATAGTGTGATAGTATAGAGGAATGACAGGGATGTTTAGAAGGTTTACCAGTGAAAGGGGTAATGCCCAAATGCTCTGAAATTGGAGTGTGTAGGTGGCGGGTGGTTTGACCCACGTACGATGTGGAGCAGCATCGACACTTAAAAGAATACACAAAATTTGATTTCAGAGTTTTGGGCACTTGGCCCTTAAAAGGAAACAGGCTGGAGAGGCGTTTGGTGGATCGAAAGAAGAATCGTATTTCACAGTGTGGGAAAGCAGCGCGGCAAAGGCGATTGATTTGTGTGCGGATTTGCGATGAGTGTAAGCCAGTAAATGGCTGAAATACAGTATTTTCTTCGGTACGGTATGTTGGAGTCCGATCTCAAACTTCCTGGACTACTATGTAAATTCTGATTAATTATTCCATGTGCTTCTCTTCCGCTACTCTGTAAGATGGCGTGTATTAAACTGCTGTTGTATTGATTCCGTGTAATTATCCTCCATCATGTCAAGGGACGCACCGTCAACACGGTATGAATTAATTGATTATGTATATATAATCAATTAATACAAAGTTGGCGGTGCACGGTCTGTTACGATGAAATGGGAGAGTTATCGTTTGTTTATACAATTTAAATGATTTATTGCGCTGCCTATGCTTATTGCAGGCACTTTACTTTCATATACACAAATGAGGACATGTGATTAATTTTGTACTACTTATTGGTTTGAGCTTGTTTCTCTGCGCGAAACTAATAAGTAGTTTCATTTGCACCTGTTAACATAGCTAAAGGACAAAGTTTTGCAAAAAGAATCATTAAGTGGAAAACAGGCTTATTTTATCAATAATCAGTGATTTTGGAATTTAATCAGTTTCGCTTCCTCTTTTCGTTGACTTTCAAAAACACTAGCAGTTACCTGCGACAATGTTAAAACAATTTGTACGTTCTTGATGCTTTCTTCTGACACACGAATTATGCGCTCAGCCTTTAATGACGTTAGTCTCTTTCTGCCTGGTTCCAAAATATTTAAAGGGTTTGCCTGAGTACCTTTACGTTGAGTATCAAAACTTTGTAGAAATTTCATTTTTATTGGTGTAAGCGGTGGTCGTAATGCTGTTTTCATTTCTTTATAGATACACGAAGCTCACATAATCATAAAATTGATTTGCAAAGCGCAAATTTTGCTTCATGACATCATTAATTTGATAGATTTGATATTTGACGTGTAACTTTCACGCAATTTAATTGAGATTTTTATGATCCCGATATTTATCTTCTTTACTTATATTGTTCTGAATACCGAAATATTCCACTGAATATAGTCGAAAATAGTTCAACATCAATATCCACCCATAATGTAACATCGTCAGGAAACCTAACAAAAACTTACAAACTAATAACATGAGACAACTCGAAACAATCAACTGTTGCAGCTGCATTATTTAAAAGGAGCCGTAATTTTAACGATTTATTACCTATGCATAGACGAATTAAAGATTTCTTATATGGATTAACATGTTTGTATTTTGAGATTCGCTTGTCCAAAGTTGGGGTGCTCGTGCTATGCGGTAGGAATTTCATCTTGGATGAAAGAATTATGAATAGATTCATGCAAGTTTCGTACATCTGCATTGAAATCATCAAAAACGGCAGGCTCACCCGAAGAAGAAAATTTGACTCATGTTTACTCCCTAGTATTTATCAGTGTGTTCACGACAAAGCCTATGTACAGCAAATACAAGGAAATTGGGCATTAATTAGTTGGAGAAATACTTTCCTGTAATAAGGGAGGATGAAATGAGAAATCTTGTTTTATTTAAGTGGAAGCACTGATGCTTCGTCAGCTATTGTTCAAATCATAATGCCATTGATAATAAAAATTGAGTTTTTAATAAATAAAAAGTCTTGAAATATTTTGCATTGGGAGTTCACTCAGTGTTTTCTTGGGATTTTTCAATATTATAGCTGGCAACGCAGGTAATTATTGACTGTGTATGTTTTAATTCAATCTGCTAACGTCCTGTTTATTTTATTTCAAGAAAGCATTTTCTAAGTTGTCATTTAATTATAATATGAACGACACATCAGCTGTAGATTTCCGTAAATAATCCCATTATCTTCAAACAAAGGTGATATAAGTACGCTGAACGTTTTGTCTTCAAAAAATATTTTAAGGAATAATTTATTTCTCTTTGTGTTTCAGTTTGTTGTACTATATTTGTTCACTAGCACCTTGTACATCTTTTAATCTTCATCACGAATTTTGACAATTCAACAGTTTCAACTTATGACTACAAACAAGTCAATGCGAATATTAACATGAGGAGTAAAGGCTAAATGCTTTGCAATTACATTTTCTTAACATATTTCATGTTATGATATCATTCCTTCTATTGCTCTCATTTTGATTACATAGGATGAATGGCTTCTAATAATAACTTAAGAATTGCTGTCAAAAATCTGTATCGTCAGGTAAATATGGTTTTGCTTACTAAATTGTGTTGTAAATGGAAATACTTTTGTCATTGCGCAATTCACAATAGTTTTTCCTTTCAAGAATTTTTTTGTGTCCTAAAATCATATTAAGATATTGCAAGACTTTGTAAATGAACATATGACCATATGCTACTATTTTTTGAGTCAATGTCTTTCGGTTTAACATGCAAAACATTTGCAACCTACGTATCAATAGTCAATCCATCAATACAGAACACTGGTCAATAAACAGGTCTGATAATTTTTTGTTGTGTTTTGCAAGATGTTGCCTATACTATTATATTTTATGAGAAAAGTTGAAATTTGTCTGTCTGTAAAGCAAATGGAAGTTTGAACAGTCAATTGAGTTTGAACAGTCAGTTAATTTATCATTTGAATCATTCAAGTGCTTAACTCAATTAAAAATAAGCCCACTATGCCTATTATGTGGTAATTTCACTATTTAAGTGAGATGTTTAAACTTATTTTATACTCTATAATTGTTGAATTATGAGGCTTACATTATTTGAAATTACCATTGTTGTATATTTAATGAAAATACTCACTGTAATAAGTCACTAATTTCATTGGTATAAACTAAGTAAAATTCTGAGCAATATCACTGAGAAGATCAATGGAAATCCTTAATAAATCAGTTAAACATCAATATTGTATATAATATTCATTAATTTTGTCACCCAACATTGTGGGCTATTTGGTTGAGATGTAACTGTGCTACATTAGGTCTGCATAGTAGTTGTAAAACTTATTTGCATGACAGAGTATCAAATGTGATTCCAGTTTTGGGACAACACATCCTGATAGATACAGAAGTTAAGGTCTTATATTCTGGGACTGATGTACTTTGTGTTAGGCAGTGCTTTAAAGCAGTCTAGATCAGGAGTTAGTTGAATAAGAGTGGGGTTGAAATCCCATCCTTAAAGTTAATAGTTTTTAACTAGCTATAATATGGAGATTACTATTACCTGTCCCTAATGATCTTGCAAAAACTATTTTTCAAAAAAATTTTTTCTATTAAAGCTAACACTGAAACAAAAAATAGCCGTTGGAAAACAGTCGATTGCCATTGAAAATTCTATAATGTAGCCATTTGTAGCAAAAACAATGGGAGTTCGCGGTCAGCTCCTGTATAAATGTTCAAGTGTCTTTCATAAATACGCAATAAACGAAGGTTCGTATTTACTCAAAAACTCCAATCTCTCTTTTCCCTCCTCATTTTTGACTTACTCAATAAATTATGGATACTGAGTACAATAACTTGTCCCAATAGACATTGTGCATTATGACTTTCAAATCCAATAAGTGCTCGGATAAACTCTATTAAATATTTGTAGTGCACATAGACGGGTTATGACAAAATGCGGAAGCGCAATGCGGATCCAGAATGCGGAACGGAATGGGGATAAAACGCGGAATTGTGGATAAAACGCAGAATTGGGGATAAAACGCGGAATTGGGGATAAAACGCGGAATTGAGGATGAAACGCGGAATTGGAGATAAAACGCGGAATAAAATTAGCGAATATTGATGAGTTATTTTCATTATTTATTCTTTTTGTGAACATTAATAAAAATTATAAAATTTAGTAAATTTTTCATTAGTAAAAATTATAAAACTAGCATACAGAATAAGTAATTTAGCATGTGCATATATAAGGCTTCAACAACCAACTTAACTCTTAACTTGACTTTTCACAAGAATAAGAACGTCGTATTTTCATATGAAAAAAGGTATTTACAAATGATTTCTGTAGCTTTATAATAGTGCTGACATTATTTTTTCTGAAACGATATTCATGCTCGTCGACATATTTGCTTTGGTAATGAAGAGTGATTCAAACTTTGATGACAAATATCATTGTCTCAGTTGATAAAAAGTTATAACAAAAATGATTGGCGTATGTGCTTTAAATGAAGATAGCTTTGTTGTTTCATGTATCTGTGCAAACGATTGCAAACGTAGGTACTAAAATAGTGAGTGCACTTTGTAGATACTAAATCCTAAACGCCGAAGAAATTGTAAATGCTCTTGCCCAAGGTGTTGTAAAATATTTGTCGGCATTGTCGTAACTTGGGGCATAAAATAGGTTGTTTCATCCTGACACAATCTAAGTTTGCATGGGAATATACGTTTCCTATTTTACTTCTTACTTCTCCAGTAAGAGCATTGCAATAATTTCTTTGCATTCTGGATATTATCGTAAGATCGTGAGGAGGGACTGGCTATATTACCTCCTAGCTTTAATGACTGAGAACAACCAAAGCAAACGCGAACTAAGGGCGGGCAGAACTGCAAGAGACTATAATGGTAAAACCTTTATCATTTGATGATGTGGGATTGATAGCAAAATGTTGTTGAGACTCTGGAAAAACTGTTCTAAGGTTGACTAAAGATTGAGGTGGTGGTTCAGACTATAAGGTAACTGATTACTGAGGCTTTAGTTATAAGTGCGTTACATCATTTTAACGGAATTTAGTGCAGAAGTGCGAATTGGATGGGAGGGAAAAGTCGTAATCAAACATCTATCTATAACAACTACAAAATACTTTACTCCAACACAAACTGAATTAGAAAACGACTTTTACTAATTAAAGCATGCCAACCAGAACTTAAATAATGGGCTTAAAGCCAGCATAGAACTGTCACTACACTTCCGTTTTAATGATGTAAAAATTGTCTTGTTTCCCTCTCAAATCTGGAGTTAAGCCTGGGCCACTATCGTGTATATTGACGAAAACGAAAACGAAACGAAAATTCGTGCACGAAATGCATGCCAGACACGACGAAAAATTACAAGGATGCTTGCAAAGCCAAAACTTTTTTGGGCAATAAGCAAGCGGCATTTTTGAAGGATTAGAAAAAAGGGCGATCTCTAAAAGAAAAAGATTACTTCTTCTTAAGAAAAAGTAACTGCTTTAAAGTTGAAAACAAGCAAGAGCAAACGTCGATACTGGATCTATCCAATTAATAAACGACGTGATTGTCTTGGACTATTTAACAACTTCATTAAAGAATTACGAGAGCCGAACAATGAAAATAGACACCAAGGTATATGAAGGCCCCAAGTGGACCAGAAGAATGGAAAGAAATTGCTAAAGGGTAAGTGCTTCACGTGTGGAATGTTAATTTAGTTAATTTGGTAAGCCAGTGGCCCTCCAAAAATCTAACTAATTACATTCAAACTATGCTATATAAAATAAAATATGACATGGGTATATAATTTGTGTACACTATAGTTTTGAAAGGTGGAATGCTCCAAATTGTATTGGAAGCATCGATGGGAAGCATGTATCTATCCAGAAGCCAAAACACAGTGGATCAGAATTTCACAACTATGAGCAAAGGGAAAGCATAGTTCTCTTAGCTGTTTGTGATGCAAACTACAAATTCACCTTGGTAGATATCGGTCAAGCTGGTAGTCAGAGTGATGGTGGCACATTTGAAGCTTCAGAATTTGGAAAAGCTTTTTTATTAGGTATGTCATTCCAAGTATTGTGCTTTTACATTATGTTTCTTTGAATAATAAGAAGAGATAAACGTCAAATAATATCATTTTGCTAACTTAAGATTTGTGTTATTAAATGAAGATGAATGGTTCTAGTAAAATTGGAAATTCATTCCAATTTATTGGCACACCAATCTTGCACTGGCAAGCTTGCATAAAATATTAACATGTTTTCATCTTTTCTAGGACAGATAAATCTTCCAACACCGGTCTGTCTACCTAATGACACTGGGAAACCCATGCCATTTGTTTTAGTTGGAGATGAAGCATTTCCACTAAAGCCTAACTTGTTACGACCATATCCTGGCAAGCAACGTGTTTGCAATGCTAAACGGATTTTCAATTATCGTTTGTCTCGTGCACGCCGGGTTATTGAAAACTCATTTGATAGGTATCACAAATCACAGTTATTTTTATACGATTGAATGAATTTACTTCAAAAATTAAATTATGGTGTACTCTATTGATAAATTTTAAGTATCCTTGCTCAGCGATGGCGGTTATTGTTCAGAACAATAATTGTTGAACCCTAAAAGGCAGCATTAGTTGAAGCAATATGTGTTTTGCACAACATGTTATGAACTGTTAGTGATCCATCTTATACACCTCCAGGATTTGCAGATTCCATAGCTCCGGATGGGCATCTGTGCAATGGATTCTGGCGAAGGCAATCCAATGCAGAGCTTGAAAGTGCTGTAAGGCTGACAGGCAGAAATTCGACAGCTGAAGCAATTTCTGTACGTCAGCACTTTACTGAGTATTTTGTTAGTGAGCATGGTTCAGTTGAGTGGCAATGGGCTTACATAGATCAACGCTGAACACTTTTCCTTGTAATGAATTTTTGTCAAAATAAACTTGAACCTTTAAAAACCATCTTTTTTTGTTTGTGTCTTAACACATTGATGAATTATTATATATATATATTTTAAAGAATCACTAACGACAGATGGTTAAGATAAATCAGTTGAAGAATAATCACTTTGTTCATTATTGTTTGAAGGTTGAGCAATGCTGGTGGGCAGGAAGTTTTGTTGCATTGTTTGGGGCAAAATTTGAAAAAAAGTTGACTGCGATGAAAAAGGATTAGAGTAGCTTGGTTCTCTAGGAGTAAAATACTCAGCATTGAACACTGCAGCTTCAGTTTCTCTCTTGGGAATGCTCATTTGATAGTGGGATTGCTTCCTTAATCGGGTTGCAATCCCCATACAGAAAAAATGGGCATCATCTTCGTCATGATTCAATTGCTGGTCAATGGACTTAAGCATCTCATCATAATCCATGGAGCTTTTCCTCTTGCATGCTTTCTTGGTTTTTCGTGCAAGTGTTGGAGATGTTGAAGTTGGTGTTGTTACTGATGGTGACGGTGAAGATATGGGTGAGGATGAACTGGGTGAGTTTACAAGAGATGATGATGTAGATGGTTCGTTTGATGACTGAGCTGATGTAATCGCAGGAAAAGTTATTGGAATATTTAATACATAAAAATTATTGACTGGAGAAGGCGCATTTGTTCGTCTATGTAGATTAGATGACGTGCTATAGTTAACAAATTAAATAAACTTTCATGTATAATTAAAAAATTGAAATGATATTAAACAAATAGCAAATCATCTTTTTTTGTTAAAATCCAAATACCAATCAAAGTGTCGCCACCATTTTCAATTCGGTGATTTTCCAGATCGTACTGCCTTTTGTACTGCATGAATGAATCACGCAGATTAGCCCACTTTTTCATGATAGTGTCAACTGTAAAATGTTTAAAAAATAATGGAAATACATGATTTGATATAAAACGTGTGTCGGCGGACTATCAATAATACTCACTATCCCACGCCAAGTCCGTAATTTTATTAAATTCATTCAAAACATCTTGCCAGTGATTTCTTTTCTTGTTCCTCGAGTCTTTATAATCCGGGTGACTTTTATCATACAAAGTTGTTTTTTCTCGCATCAGATTTATCAAAACCTCTTGCCACTCCGCCATGTTTGAGTACAAAGTCTGATATTATTAGGCAATAGTAAAGGCTGAAACACACTGGGCAGTCGCTTCAGTCGCTTGAACGCTAGAAACACACATGCAGCGACCATCGCGACTTTTACCGTGGCGTCTATTGAAAATGGCGGTGATTTTAGTTTGTTACAAACACAGATATCACTTAAACTTTTTATTTTGGCCTTTATTATAGCTACGAATATATGAATATTTACTCAGTACAAACTACTATGTTGAGAAAAGAGAACAAGCCAGTTAAAACACGCCAATATGATCATAGTCCATTACGCGTATATTGTGGGTAATCTTATTCTGTGCATTTAGGTTGTGCATTAGGGTTCCAGTTTGTAGCTCCTATTGTCCCTATTTGATAAGTCATATAAAAACTGAAAGATTCCAGTGTGAATTCACTATATATTGCCTTCGTTTTCCAAGGTATATTTCTTATGATGCTTATGACAGGAAATATGATATGCATTTAGGAAGTTAAAATGTATCTATTGGCCAATCAGTGTAAGGAGACTGAAGCGACCAATGTCAAAAGTTCAACATGTTGAACTTTCAAAGCGACTAGCTGACGCGACTATGCTACTAGCTTAGTAACCACGCAAAGCGGTAGTTTTAGACGCGCGACGAAAGGCGGTTTTCCATTACGGTCGCTTCGCCCGCGCGGGCGAAATCTGTTTTTGAGAGCGTTGGCTCCCGCTGGATTTTATTTCCATTATTTTCGCCAGAGATGGCGGTAAATTTGAGCAAAACATGGCGTATCTGAATAATCGACGACGACGTTTTCTGCTAATTCTTTTAAGGCGAAGATTAAGAAAACAAAAATACAAGAAAAGATTTTGGGTAAGGAGTATATTACAAAAAAGGAAAGAAAAAGGAGAATACCATACTCTAGTTCAAGAAGCTATGTTATATGACAAAGAATTTTTTTTCGTTTGTTTCATATGACTCCTTTCAAGTTTGAAGAATTACTGACCTTAGTTGCACCAAAAATAACACGCTGGCATGCAAGAAGAGAAGCTATTGGACCTGCAGAAAGGCTTTGCGTCACTTTAAGATATTTGGTCACAGGAGACACCTTTAGAACTATTGCAGCAAGTTACCGTTTAAGTGATACTGTTGTGGGACGAATTATAAGGGAGACTTGTAAAGCTTTGTGGAATGTTATGGCAGAAAATGTTTTTTTATCTGTTCCGAGTTCGTCTAAAGAATGGCTAGATATAAGTCAAGACTTTGAGAGAAGGTGGAATTTCCCGAACTGCATCGGAGCGATTGACGGTAAGCATATCATTATCCAGTGTCCTTCACGAGCAGGATCTATGTTTTTTAACTACAAGAAGTTCCACAGTGTTGTCCTGATGGCAGTTGTGAATGCAAAATTTCAATTTACGATAGTTGATGTAGGCGACTATGGACGTCTAAGTGACGGTAGCGTTTTTTCAAGTAGCCAACTTGGTATTGCTATGGAACAGAACAAATTAAACCTTCCACCCCCAAGACTGCTACCTTGGACCAATATTAGTGTACCATATGTGTTTGTTGGAGACGATGCTTTCCCTTTTAAAAATTATTTAATGAAACCCTATCCTAGGGGAGAGATCCAGATCCCCGAGAGAATTGCAAATTACAGATTCTCCCGTGCAAGAAGAATTGTAGAAAATGCCTTTGGCATTGCCACCTCACGATTCAGACTTTTCAGACGAGCAATTACGGCAGATGTTGACGTTGCAGTGCAAGCTACAAAGGCAGTTGTGGCTCTTCATAACTACCTTATGGCTGACAGGTGTATTCTAAGTAATCCATATTGTCCATCTGACTTTATTGACCGTGACTGCAATGGTTCACTTAGACTAGGTGGGTGGAGAAGGGAGAATGTCAATAATGGCGGAATTCAGGATGTAACACATCTTGGATCCAATAACTATTCAATACAATCAAAAAATATCAGAGACTGTTTTAGAAATTATTTCAACTCAACAATAGGTTCTGTGCCATGGCAAGACATGATTGTAACATCACGACCCTGTGCGTTTGACAGACTTGTATTAGATGAAACAGTGGATTGACATACACTCTTAATGGTTAATTCAGCATTAATCAAAACACAATATTCCTTTTTGTAATAAATATACTTTTGTCTTCAAACAACATATCAACATATTTCACAATAAAATTTGAAAGAAATATCAATATAAAATAAACATGAGCAATTGCGAAAAATGCATGCAAGAGTTCTAATGTTCATCATCAAATTCATACTTAATAAGAATGTTTTGAAATTCAACCCTTGCCATTCGGTTTCTCTTAGGAGGCAATTTATCTAAAATATCCACAATTGGTTTGAACTGCGCACTTTAGTCTTTTGTGTTGACACATCTTCTGACTTCGTTAAAGCATTAACCAACAACAAGTCAATCTTTTCTTGCCGATCAAAATGTTTCTTTGATCGCTCATAAGGCTGCTTTTTGTCACACTGATCTACATCCAGTTTCCGTTTACAAAATTCTTTTGGGCTGTCATATTTGTATGTTGTGAACCTTACTGATTTCTGTGCAGCAGATTCAGTTTTTTGTTTGTGCATCTGATTGTTTGGAATATTCATTGGGGTTACGTTTATGTTGCTTTCTGTTTCACGATTGGAAACAAAATCACGTAAAAAAAAGCAATTTTTCGAAGAATTTGCATGTGGGTATCTTTGTAGCACCCGCCCCAGACTTTTGTCCATCACTTATCTTTTTTAAGCAACGCATCATGCCATCGCGTAGGTTTTTCCACCTTCCTTTGACCATTCCAAAATACAAAAAACTTAGACAACATTTTTTGCTCTGTAAATTCAAAGATGATGGCTTTTGCTTTAATATTTCAAGTCATACCCATCTCAAAATTACGTACAAAAATTCAATTCTAGATTTTTTCCTCAACAACACTATAATTTCATCTGATTAAACTGTAAACACAGTACTGAGTACACTTAGTAGAACAGTATATAACATGCCTGCAAAATTATTTCACTTCTCAGAAGAAAACAATAAAATAATTCACAATTCCTGACACTGAGAACATTTTAATAAAAAATATCTATTGAAAACAAATGTTTACTAGTCTCAGTTAGCAGATAAAATCTGACATAGCTGTTCATAGCTATAAAATTGTTCAGCGTTTATAAAGAATTTTTTCGTCTATTTCAAGTATAACAACAATCTGAGCAAAAGGTAGTACAAACCTAGTGACACAATTAACATAATCAATCAACAAAACTTACTATTTCGGTTCAAACGAGAAGCAATTTCACCCCAAGCCTGCGATTTTTCGCAATATCTTTGTAATCACGTAACGATGTATTCCAGAGAATTCCGTTGTTTCTGACCTCTTCAATCAAAATTTCATCTATACTATCGTCATCTTCAACGTTTTCTGGTAATACAACATGAAAGTGACTCAAGTTTTCGTCTTGATTCACTTGCTGCATAATCCCATCCTCCATAGCCGCCATGTTGTTTTTGCTGTTCGCCGCATGGTTCGCGATGAAAGTCGATGTGATTTCGACTCGTCAGCTTGTCCGTCAGCGTTCAGGCGAACGCTGGGCGAACGATGCAAATACGGAGAGAGAACTTTAATACGCATGCGCTTATTCAAAAAACTGCACGCGCGGGCGAAGCGACCGTAATGTGTTTCAGCCTTAAGCCTGGGCCACACTATCGTCTATATTGACGAAAACGAAAATGAAACGAAATGCATGCCAGACACGACGAAAAATTACAAGGATGCTTGCAAAGCCAAAACTTTTTTGGGCAATAAGCAAGCGGCATTTTTGACGGATTAGAAAAAAGGGCGATCTCTAAAAGAAAAAGTTACTGCTTTTAAAGTTGAAAACAAGCAACAGCAAACGTCGATACTGGATTCATCCAATTAATAAACGACGTGATCGTCTTGGACTATTTAACAACTTGATTAAAGAATTACGAGAGCCGAACAATGAAAATAGACACATAAAATACTTGCGAATGACGACGACAAATTTTGACTACATTTTGGATTTAATTAGACCTCACATCACTAAAGTTGGCACACATCTTAGAAAGTCTATTAGCCCTGATTTATCAAAACCTCTAGCCACTCCGCCATGTTTGAGTACAAAGTCTGATATTATTAGCCAATAGTATGCGTTTTCGTTAACAAAAAGGTCAAAAGTTCAACTCTTCTAATATGCACGAAAACGAAATTTTCGTCGAGTTTTCGTTCAAAATTTTCGTTGCAGCAGTTTTCGTTCTGATTTTCGTCGATATGGACGATAGTGTGGCCTAGGCTTTAAGCGTTTTCGTTGACAAAAAGGTCAAAAGTTCAACTCTTCTAATATGCACGAAACCGAAATTTTGTCGAGTTTTCGTTCAAAAATTTCGTTGCGGCAGTTTTCGTTCTAATTTTTGTTGATATGGACGATAGTGTGGCCTAGGCTTTATACATGAACTTTTTATTCGGAGTTTGTTTCATATTGTACTAATTAGAAGTAGTTTTCAGCATTGTAAGATAGACGATGTTATAAGCTAGAAAAAATGCGTGATCCGATATCAGGATTATACATTATGTAGCCAAACGTTCACTGATATAATATTTTATCAAACAAGCTTTCGGCTGTCTGTTTACAGCCTTCGACGGGTTATAAAATATTATTCATCAATTAGCTTCCTATATAATGTATCATATTACTTAACACTAACCATTATGCACTGAAGATGTCATTCTGATAATGTCGACACATGTTTGCGCTCAAAAAACTTGTTGTTTTTCTCCAATGATTTTTTAAAGTATTGCGCACGTGGTTAATATTTTGGGAGACCACGCACACGTAGGTATTTAATCTAGAACTGTCGAAAACGGAGGTTATTTGAATACCATGACGTCAAAGGGTCGAGTGCACTTTTCCTTATGGGGCGCCAAGCCGGACAAATTTGTCTTTCAGAAAATATATGTGCTGAACTTCAAATTTGCATTGTCTGAATCGAATAAATCGGTTCTCAACTCAAAATATATCTGGTAAACTTAAAAAATATATGCTAAACTTAAAAAATATTTGCTAAACTTAAAAAATATATGCTAAACTTAAAAAATATATGCTAAACTTAAAAAATATATGCTAAACTTAAAAAATATATGCTAAACTTAAAAAATATATGCTAAACTTAAAAAATATGTTCTAATTATGATGTGCTTTGCGGCCTTGTTTTTATCACGTGGGCGGTAAGCGTGCGTGGCCGCCATTTGCAAATTGCAATAGATTCTCGAATCTGGATTGTCGAAGATGCTAAATCAAAATGAACTTCAGTTTCACTTGAATAACGCGTTACAAAGAATTAGCCAGTTGGAAAGTTCAAATATTACTCCTAGCAGTCCGCTTGGTTCGACGAACAACTCCAGAAGAAACAGCGGCTCGACGCAAAGTCGAAGTAGAGAGGCTAGGAACTGGGTTGAGCTCAACGTTAGTAATCTATTCAACCGACAAATTGACTATTTTATAGGGAAAATTAAACATTAAGTATGCCTCTTTATCGTAGACAAGGTGGGGGCATCAGTTATAACCGGTATAATGTCTTTTTTGACCGATAACATTGTCCAGGTCCCCTTAGATAGACTAGATAATCTGGAAATCTTAAATAATCGAATGGATTGTACGTGTTCTTTTTTCATAACTCTACTAAACAACGCAAACACTGATCAAGAAACATTCGGTTTGCTTGCAAACGTCTTAAACAGTCTATTGTCAATTCAAAGAGCTCTTTGTCTTGAAATGGAAAGGCTCCAATCAATCAATGATGAAAATTGTTACAGGTGTCCAATTAATCCAACACACGGGCCAGGTCGACCAAAATACCATATCACAAAAAATCAACTGGAATTTTTGCGAAGCAAGCACTTTTCGTGGGTTAACATTGCCAAATTACTTCATGTGTCTACGCGAACATTACGGAGGAGAAAAAACAAATTAGACATCAATGACGAGTTTTCTAATATCTCGGAGGATGAGCTTACCCAAGCTATGGAAGACATAAGGAAAGTTACCCCAAATATTGGTCAGAGTAGGATGGTAGGTGCGCTAATGGCTAGAGGGATTCATGTTCAGAGGCAAAGGGTGAGAGAGTGTTTAAGAAAAATTGATCCAGTTGGAACAGCACTTAGATGGAACTCAGCAGTCTACCGACGTAAGTATTATGTTCCGCATCCTAATGCTCTATGGCACATTGATGGCAACCACAAGCTAATACGATGGCGGATAGTTATTCACGCATGTATTGATGGTTACAGCCGACTTATTATATACCTGTAATGTGCCAAAAATAATCGCGCATCATCTGTGCTAGAGTTTTTTACACAGGGAGTCAAAGAGTTTGGTTTGCCATCTAGAGTCAGATCAGACCATGGCTTAGAAAATGTAGGCGTTGCACGCTTTATGCTAACCAACAGGGGTTGTGGAAGGGGAAGTATTATAACGGGTAAATCGGTGCATAACATTAGAGTTGAACGTCTCCATAGAGACGTATATTGTGGCGTACTTTCTCATTATGTCTGGCTATTTACTAACATGGAAGAAGATGGTTTGCTTGATTGTCTTAATGAACATCACCTATTCGCACTACATTACGTTTACATCCCAAGAATTCAAAGATCTCTTAACGAATTTAAGTGGCAATGGAATAGCCACCCCATTAGTACTGCTGAGAATCTGAGCCCTGAACAACTATTTATCAGTGGAGCTATGTCGAATTGCAATGAAAATATACTGGTAGAAGGGAGTGACCAAGACGAACTTGGTGCCGGCATGGATTTAGACGAAAGTGAAACTCTCTTAATCAGTGATGACGACTATAATGTTTCTGTGCCACAAGTAAATGTCAATGAAGAGCTAACAATCTTGGTACACGAAACTATTGATCCCCTAAATGATGATGGAAATCATGGTGTAAATGTGTTTAGAGAGTGTTTACAATTGATGAGCGAAACAACAATCAATCAATAGAATGTACAGTTCTCCTAATTTTTTTTCAATATAAAAATCACGTTCATTAACATAGCATTTTCGTTATTAAACTATATATTCTGTAGAAAAAACAACGCTAATTCAAAATTGGAATCACAAATAGGTTGAAATTATTAAGAGTTTGGTTTTAAGATTGGTAAATAATTAGAGTCACTCACATTCTATTAACTTAAGTATTTATTTAAACATCTGATTTTCATACTATAAGCACATTTATTAACTGTTTTGGCTACACCAACAGGAGTTGGTACAAATGAAAAAATGATTTAATTTAGCTAGCTCTACTTTTATGGCTTACAGGATTTAGTTATTTTCTTAAGTCATACATTTGGCAATATGATATTAATACATTCATATTTTCCACAGTCTTTATTGATATTGAATGGAAGTACTTTCCTGTTTTGGTACGGTGATTTATGTATGATATTTACATATAGACACACTGACTCAGACAAAAATTCACAAAACCTTATCCCTATATGCATATACAAAAAGGCTGCATGTTAAGCACAACCTCATTTTATATCTGTTACGAAATTGTTAATTTATGCCTGAGCTCCAGTTACCTGTTCCTTCAATATCTGACTTAGATTGAATTTCCAGGACTTCTGGTTCTTGCTTAATTAATGCTGGTTTCAGCAATTCATCATCAGCAGAATTGTCACTCTCACTACAAGCACTAAGTTTTTCATTGGAGCGTATGTAAACAGCACCTTGGCCTGACAACTTCAAGAGCATGTTGCAGTTCATAGTCACCCCAGGGGCTAAATTTGGTAAAACAAGTTTTCCATATGAGGCCTATAGTAAAAAAGACGAGGAAATAATGTATAAATACATTAACGAATTACATATTTATAAACAAAACATTTATCACTGATTAAATAAACGGTGTCTTAAATCCAGATATTATAATATTCATACAGAAATTATAAGGCAAAAGGTATTTCCAGAAAAGTAGGAGCAACTGGCTTATAATACTAATTCATTTGTATGCTGTTTTTAACTCCCCTCACTGCACACCCACCAATACACCCTGGACAAGACGTTTAAGCTTATGCTAGTACGTATATTAGTATATATAGTTTATGTTACCTTCACATATTCATAACCACAATTTTGGATCTGCGGAAAAACGTTTTCTATTTCTTCTTTTAAATTAGTATCATCCCATTCTCTTACAAAAGGAAAGCTGTGAATAACGAAACCGTCACTTTCCAACGAAACACGAGAAGAATGAGTAGGAACTGAAGTTTGAGTTGGTTCCGGAACCAACACCAGGTCTTTGTGCACTGCTTTGGGTTTCAAGGTTGATTTAGAGGTCGTCGATTTGCGCTTTCGTTTTTTCTTGTTGCCAGAAAGATGCGACGTTGAAGCCCGACTCAATGGCGTTTGGGTTGATGTTGAACTTATTGCTGCGTGATTTGCTAAGCTTGGAAAACTCCTTTGCAGTTCTTCCGTTAAAGTCGAGCCGGTCGAGCCGCTGTTTCTGCTGGAGTTGTTCGTCGAACCAAGCGGACTATTAGGAGTAATATTTGAACTTTCCAACTGGCTAATTCTTTGTAACGCGTTATTCAAGTGAAACTGAAGTTCATTTTGATTTAGCATCTTCGACTATCGACATTCGAGAATCTGTTGCAATTTGCAAATGGCGGCCACGCACGCTTACCGCCCACGTGATAAAAACAAGGCCGCAAAGCATCATAATTAGAACATATTTTTTAAGTTTAGCAAATATTTTTTAAGTTTAGCATATATTTTTTAAGTTTACCAGATATATTTTGAGTTGAGAACCGATTTATTCGATTCAGACAATGCAAATTTGAAGTTCAGCACATATATTTTCTGAAAGACAAATTTGTCCGGCTTGGCGCCCCATATTTCCTGCTTTTTGTTACACATTTTTTCTACATTTTTTAATGAATTCAATTTTTAAACATGTGCAGCTAATCATTTAACAGCGTTCATCGTAATCATGCGTTTCATTTTGTAAACAATTTCAGATAGCATTCACACTCAAGCCAACGTTTTCTTTCATTGTCACCTATCGAAAAAATTAAAGATGGGACGCTGAGATTAGCATGCTCATGTTCGTGACGTTGTGCATTGAATTCTTATGCTGAAATCATTTGTAAATACTTTTTTAATATGAAAATACGTCGTTGTTATTCTTGTGAAAAGTCAAATTCAGAGTTAAGTTGGTGGCGGAAGCCTTATATATGCACATGCCAAATTACTTGTTCTGTATGTTAATTTTATAAATTTTCTTAATGGTACATGTTTTCATTTCTAATAATTCATAGTGGTTTAATGTTCACAAAAAGAATAAATAATGAAAAATAACTCAATAACATTCACTATTTTTATTTCACGCTTCATCTCCAACTCCACGTTTTATTCCCAATTCCGCGTTTTATCCTCAATTCTTCGTTTTATCTCCAATTCCGCGTTTTATCTTCAATTCCGTTCCGCATTCCACTTCCGCGTTTTATCCTAACCCGCACATAGACCGCAAAAATGCCCTAACGAACTAAGGAAGTGCTAAACCAAACTTTTTAACACTTGTATTGAAAGTTTAGGTTGCTAGTTAAGATATAAATCCAAGAAATATTTTTGTAAATGTTTGTACCTCGCGTGACTGATGACGTCATCAAATTCGCAAACTCGATTATATTTCATGACTATTAAACGGAAATGGTAAAATAAGTGCATATTTGTATGCAGTGCACAAAATCTATTTAAATGATATGTATTGCGTTGAAAATGATGACGTTATCATTTCTTCATTGGAAAAAAACGCCTCAATAACGTCACTTTATTTTGGGCGTCACTTTTTTGGGTTTTTTTGAAATGTCATTTTTTATCACAGAAATTGAACTATTCGTAAACATTAGACGGATAATCAATTACTGGTCGTTACATATAACGCTGTTTTACATTCGTAACCCGCATATCATGCCTTCTCGAACTTGCAAGTCTATCAGCCAAAAATCGAATTAGCTATTTCGGGCAGAAGACAGATAGTTGACTTGCTTTTAGGTCCTTAGACAGCAGAACTCTTTTGAATTTATGTTTCTTTCTGCCTTCTACTGTAAAGGACTTTTCGAGTAAATTCGCTCACATTTTTTTCAGTTCCATCACTAATACGTAATCTCTGACGAAGACCGTACAGTAGTTGTACAGAGCTGGATAAATTCAAAAGCTTTTCAACACTTCAATTTTGCCCACTTTTACAATTACTTACTTCTCGCTAATTTTTAACTATATTTTATTTTTAAGGGTTTCTTTTAAAACTGCAATTTTTCCGACTGGTTGTTCTGTAAAAGTCAACTGACCAATGAAAATGACTCAATAATGCTTTATACATGATGTTCAATAAAAAGTTTAGCTACCAATAGCTGCCAATTCTCTTTCGTTTTCTCAAAACTCTAAAAAATGACTTTTGTTGACATTTATATTCGTTTAGATATTTATAGTCTTGAGAGCAGCCATTTTTTGTTATCAAATACATTTATCGATATATTTTGCGTATTTTTATTCTTGTTTTCAAGTCTTTTTCAGATCTAATTTCTTGAACCAAATCAAATTTGGGAAGTACGTATAGAGAGTAAAAGGTTTGACGCAAGTCGGCTTGTTTTGATCTTGTGTGATGAAAACAGAGCAAGTTCTATTTCCATCCGATTTTTGAGATTGACGGATTTGACTTTTGGATGCTTACTTCATACGTGTTCAACGATCCGTTTTTTAGGTTCCGACAAAATCTGATCCGACAAATCGGATCGTGTGAACGGGCCTTAAGTGGCTACTATTCAAACGTTTATGCGTGTGTTCAATTATTTCGACCATTGTTTCTTTTTCGTTTCTTATCTTTCATTTTAAAGTAATGTTTAAAGTGCCTTCATCGCCTGTGCGATATTTACGGATTGAGTGTATCTAAGTGTCGCGGGTCGCGGGTAAAATGTCGCAGGTAAAGTCGCGTTTTTAAAAAACACTTTTTTGCATGGAAAAGTTTGAAAGTATGATGTTGAATTCTCAGGAATTCTTTATTTTTATTTATGACCACTTGAATGTGCTCTGCGAATCAACGTTCTTGCTGTCAACATTAAAATATGTCACTAGTGCTTTGGATATTTAAGATTTGTGTTTGTTATACCTATCCAAGTATACAAAACGATGTGTTGTTAATAAGAGGAATTATTATTAGTTTTGAGGGCCTTTAAAATTCTCTTACAATTGAAATTGTAAAACCCAGTTCATAAAAGATATGGTTTATTTATATGTATAACTTGCACTTTCACACGACTATAAATTTGCTTTTCTCAAGCAACTAAGTTCTTCATTACCAAGCTAACTAACTATGTTTTCGATAGTGATTAGTGGATATAACGTATATATATTAATATTATATTTGGATACATAGAACAAAAAAACATTGTCTATGAATCAGGATTTTACGCAACGCTTATGAGGTATTTCTATTGACAACAGAGAAAGTGTAGACCCTGGCTCTAAGTGTAGTACAGTCATAACAAATATCAGCCATTAATTCAAGATTTATTTGGATACAACTCATGTAATGGATATAAAACATGTTATCACTTAGTAAAAGAAACTTGCCAATCGTGCGCAAGGAAAAGTGGAAGCCGGTTTAACTTATATAATCGATCCATAGCTTATGATTTATGATCCTAAACGAAATGTGTTTACAACTTGAAGTGTATGTACGGATTTTCCAACGGTAATGTCCTCAAACCTTGCAGCCTATAATTATAGAATTTACATGCTGGGTACATTGGATATATCACAAGTATAAAAAGCAGGGGTGGCGCCAGGAATTCCCCGACACAGGGTAAGGTCCCCGACGGGTGGCTGACTTACTACGCTGATGTGATGATGCGCGTTTAATGCAAATATTTTTTTCAGACAATATTTTCAGAAATTGTTATCAATTCTCGCTTTAACTAAATCGTTAATATTATTTGTGTTGGAAATAATAATATACATCTACATAAAAAATTAACACTATGTATTCGACTAGTTGTGAGAGCCGCTAATTTGGGGGATGGGTTGTTCTTTCCTGTATTCGGTTGTGCCCAATTGATTTTTTTGAAAAGAAATTTGGTTTTAAATAAAGTCAGTCTGACAAAACTGAATATATGTATATCCTCACCAATCACCGTTGTACTAACAGCCTGCTAGTCTTGCATGCAATTAGCTATAACAAAGATATACAGTCAGTAAAAAGAATGCCATGGGTTTTCTAATAATGTTGGATAGTAATTACAAATAATATTTATCGCTGTAAAAGGTTTATAAACGTCTTGAACATCTTCTTTAACCTATACAAAGCTGTAATCAAAGTAAGACGAGGATCCATTAGTTATTAGATATACTATTATGTTTTTCTTGTTTAACTTAAATCTTATGTTTTGGCACTTTATCTCAATTTTACCCTGTTAAACTTTTTTGCTGGTGAACAGTTCTTTTTGACTGCATGTAAATAATGAATCAGTGGTAGAAAATCATGAATCAACGAATCATTACTAGGAAACAATTTATAAACATAAAAGCAATATTAATAATGCACGAGTAAGATATAACTTCGCTGAATCATTAGATTTGATTGTTTGATGTTCAGAGAACAATTCTACACTTGGGAAACCTAGCGTTAAACTTGTTCACTACGACAACCAAATCCAGTTTGTTCCCTCGACCACCATGAATTCCTAACATCATTAGCTGTCCAGACGCTTGATGGTGATTTATCAAAATCAATAGCCGTAATACATGTAAAACTGTCAGAATCTTATGCTCATTGCTGATTTGAAACTCAAACAGAAGAGTTTTTTTAGTTTCTAAAAAATTTCCTTTCAAAATTCGAAAGTGGGGTGGCAAAAAAACAACCGACAGAAAACTAATAGCGGGCAAGCGTCGTGGCGATTGCATATGCAAATATATCTCATGTCGCATGTTACATGATAGCAACTATTATCATGTAATATCATTATTATATCATATTATAATTTCATATATTACTAATTAGGACATAATCTAGAAGCTTGCTTGCATGCGCTAGAAGCTTGCTTACATGCGTAAACATATTTTAGAACCGTAACCGCATTTGTTGTTATTGTGGTTAACTACATCTTGCTGTTACATACTGTATTGCGTATGAGATGTAGGTCACAAACCACAATACTTCCATTAGATATTATATATATATGAGTAGTTTAGACCACTGAGAAAACCTACGAGGACAACCTACGCACAAGCTACGAGGAGACAAACTTAGGAGGCATAGCCTACCGAAATAGGTTGACAAGCTACAATCTACCAGATCTTGGCTTCTGTGCCATAACTATCTCTTGGCTTCTGTGCCTTTAATCTATTTGGAAAACTATTGTGAGTCATTGTTGGACTCACGAACGCTCAAGAATAAAGACTCGCGGTTGTACTTAGACAGAGGAGATAAGTTTTACTCATACTTATTGATATTATTATTAAGACACTTATTTACTTTAATATTTATGCATTAATTAATAAATTGTTTGAGAAATATAACTGGTTCACACTATCTTTGTTGCGTGTGGAATTAGAACCAAAATTAATAGTTATTCTTTCGGGACCACGCACGTAACATCGCATTTGCATATCTGTTCTCTAATGAGCATTCAAAAATAAGTATTTTAAAGTACTTCATTATTTTTGAATTTTAAATTTGATGTCGGAAAGCTGGCGTGTATGAAGATTATTGCTGATACTGAGTGCTCACATTACTTTTAAACAAACGCTGTAGCCCCTGCCCCTCAGACGCCACCCCTGGACATTAAAATATGTCACCGGTGCTTTGGATGATTAAGATTTGTGTAATTGTGTTTGTTATACCTATCATACATGTGTTGGATTTAAACTTTAAGGTACTTTACTGCTGTAATCGTTCATTTAGTTGTGCACTTACCAACCGTGAACAAGTCAACGAATTACTCGTGTACAACTAGACATGTTGTTAACATAACACTCAAAAGATGTTGAATGGCATTGCCAAATGTAAAAATTCGCATGCATTGGAAATTGAATTACTTACAGTTATATGGGAAATGCAACTCTCCAATAGTCGGAAAGTGTAAGTTATACTTATGATATACACAATGTACCCAGCATGTAAATTCTATAATTAGAGACTGCAAGGGTTGAGGACATTACCGTTGGAAATTCCGTACATACACTTCAAGTTGTAAACACATTTCGTTTAAGATCATAATTCATAAGCGTGGATAGATTATATAAGTTAAACCGGCTTCCACTTTTCCTTGCGCATGATTGGCAAGTTTCTTTGCTTAGTGATAACATGTTTTATATCCGTTACATGAGTTGTATCCAAATAAATCTTGAATTAATGGCTGATATTTGTTATGACTGTACTACACTTAGAGCCAGGGTCTATAAGATACACTTTCTCTGTTGCCAATAGAAATACGTCATTAGTGTTGCGTAAAATCCTGATTCATAGGCAATGTGTGTTTGTTATATGTATCCAAATATGGCAAATGGAAACGATTCAATACTTATCATCAGATAAATCTTCGCAAGCAATTTCACAATATTCTGATTTAATAACTTCTCAAAATATTTAAAATTGAAACAACCAATTTGCCATAATTTGAGAATTACAACCGGAGTGACGTGTAGTGCTTTGCAATCAGTTATTAACGACCCTCAAAACTAATAATAATTCCTCTCTTATTAACTATGCATCGTTTTGTATATTTCGATAAGTATAACAAACACAAATCTTAAATATCCAAAGCACCGGTGACATATTTTGATTTTGACAGCAGAGAGCGTTGATTCATGAAGCACACTCAAGTGGGCATAAATAGAAATAAAGAATTCCTGAGAATTTAACATTGACTACTTTCAAACTTTTCCATGCAAAAAAGTCTTTTTTAGACCCGTGACATTTTACTGCGACACGCGACTTTTTACCGGCGACACGCGACTTTTTACCCGCAACAGTTAGATACAATCTTACGGATTCTGTTGATTTTTTTTCATTTGATTTATTTAATAAATTATTCAGTGATTTTTGATTTAGTGCAAAAGTTTTAAGTTTAGAGACATGCTCAAGAGATACTTTAAAGACAAAACGACCCATTACTATTGCTTATAGTTAAGTAGACTTTTTACAGTGCGCCTTAAATTTGGGTGTTTCAGGCAGCCTTCTCTTACAACATTATTTTGTTAAAGGACACATGCAAGCTAGAAGACAACTTTATTTTATTGTAATGCATATAGCGTGAAAATAAGACGTACCAAGTTTCAAAGTCGTCCGCAAAATATTTCAAAAGATATTTAGGGTTATAATCGGTAAAAACACGACATTCGATGACCATTGCTAAAACGCCGTGAGATTGTTTAAGTTTGGGAACTGGGAAAGAGTGACGTATTAATTGACATAAACAAGCATCGTTCTTATATCGTTCTATGACTTGCACGGCTTTCGATAGTTTGCTATTACTGTTTTTTATTTATCAAAAATTAATGGATTCTTCTGAAGAAGAAGCCGATTATGATATTGTCATCAATAACAATGAGGTACAACCTTACATGTTCGAGCCTTTGGCCAACGCGCAAGGTGTCAAAATGATGACAATTCTTTGTCATCGGAAAGCGAAGATGAATACATTCACAGAATTGGAAATGTTGAATGGTTAGTTGCATTTTATTTATTAAATGCCACTAACTTGGCACAATATCCAGGCAAAATCACATCTTCTATCTCCTCCAAGGTTAATGTTCCTTTCTCTGATTGATTTTAGAAGATGCTTTTGGTGCATATGCCAAACATTTGAAACACTGGGTATCAAATACGCTGTTTGAATATAGCTGTATGTTCACTCTGACAGAAATTGTATTCCTGAGTGACGAAGGAATTGAAGAACTTTGCTGGGGCTACTACCACTAAACAAAATGCTGGCAGCAAAGACCAAGTTGCCTAAAGGCATTCGCCCATGCAGAGGTTGGCTATTCCAGTGTCGAACATAACCACAATGACATTTTGCACAATGACATTTTGTTGGCTTCCAATTTTTGCGTCGGAATTTTTCAATCCAAATGTCTCGCATGCGCTTGTTTTCGGGAAACGAAAAAAAGTAACCTTTTGCTGCGTTTGGTGGTTCTTAGAAGAACCGTTTTTAAAATTAAATGCGGCACAATAAACCATATTTTCGCAACAAGTTGTTGAAAATTTAAAAAGCAATTTAAAGATGACATTAGTCAACAGAATAACTGTTTGAAGGCGTTATGCATTTAAAGACTATATGGATGTACGACTGAAGAAGTACTTTAAGTACTATATGTCATTTGCGGGAGAACCAGCCATAGATACAGGTGGCCCAAGACGTGAATTTTTTACGGGTAAGATTAAGTAAATGTTAAGTAAACAGTGACATTTTTGAAATAGTATACTAGTGTTATAATGTCTAAAGATATTGAATAAATGAGTACAACACTTGCATTGATAGAAAATTAATTTATTGGAGTAATGTAATTACATTTTTTCGTACAGAATGCCTCAACTATATACAGAAGAAGCTGTTCAACGAAAAGGGATTTCCAGTAGTGAATGTACAAGCCTTGGCCAATGAAGAATTCAAAGTCGCAGGAAAAATTATTGCTGCGTCAATTGTTCAAGGAGGACCTGCTCCCTGCTGTTTTCTTCACAGGTGTACAATTACATACTGCATGGTATATCAAGCGTACATGCACACAACTGGTGTGGACAGTTAAAGGATGACACAATTAACTGTTGAAAAGGTAATCTTTAAAAATAGCTTATAACCTGCATGTCTGTTGGTGTATTAAAGTGAATATTTCTGATTAAGAAATTTTACAGATCAAGTCTCGTGCAAACGATGATGATTTGGTTGCATTTCTAGAAGAAGACTCGACGATTAATGTTTTGCAAGTATTTGATTACTGTGGTATTCCATTTAAGGAGTCAAGAGAAACAAGCGACAAGATAATTAGGTAAATTCCATAATGTAAAGATGGCTTTGGAAATGCTGCAATAGCTCTGAAGGAAATTATTTTATATTTTAATATTACATATTTTAGGTCTCTTGAGATAAGTGATGTGCCGAAAACTCTAGCATTTATTGACCATTTAATATCTGGTCTTGAGCTTCATGCGGTTTTGATTGAGTTGTGCAAAAACAGAAATGTTATGGAACCATTATTTACCATTGATGGAGCACAAAAATTTGCAATGACAGCTGATCATATTGTAGATCACATTTTGATAGAATGCAGTCCTGAAGGAAGCAACCAAAAGTTATTAGAAATCAATATTCACAAGTTTTTTGTGATTATATTCAAGCTCTTGAAGCTAAAACAGGTATACATATCGATTAATGTGCATTGCATAGACCAGGCAACATACCAGGGAGGGTATTGATTGCTAAAGTTGCTGAAGTTGGTTGCAAGTAGTGGATATAAAATGTAATTTTTCAGTAACGTAATCAAGGCGTTTATATATTTGCAATCTTGAGATGCTCTTATTGTTCCATTAATTCCTTAAGTCTGGAAGATTTTCCTAAAAATTTTTAAAGGAGTTAACAGATTCACTTATACAATGATTTGCTTCATTTTACTTTTTGTATTGTTTCTCAAGGAGCTACAAATTGTTTGTCTGCATTGTACAAATTTATAACTGGAGTCGAAACAGTGATCCCACTTGGCATGGAAAAAACCGCCACTGTGAAATTCAAGCATGGACGCAAAGTTGGTTGTAGATGCAGACCAACAGCCTCTACCCGTGCTACAAGCTTAACACTCCCAGTTCATATTGATGATTCAAAGCAATTTGAAGATTTAATGGATGCTACACTTGCAGAAAGTTTTGGTTTTGGCTTCATTTAAAGAATACAGTATCAATTATATATTTCAAAGACATTTCTCTCTTAAAACGTTTTCAATGTTATAACAACTTAAAACTTTTATTAGATAACACAAACATTATTTTGCATTAACAGCGCACGCAAATAATTCTGATGCTTCCTGATGGTTTTCAGGATATTGTAATCTTTGCAACTCAACCAAGTAATGAAAATAATCTTGAAAAGTATTATAAAACGATTCATTATGGCAACCATGGGTCTTAGCTATTTGCAATTTCTCTTCAGTAACTCTCACTTGGCAATCAAAAGCCCCATACTCCTCGGGGATTGCATATAAAACATTTGGAACTCCATCAACAGTTTCCTGGCGAGATTGCCGAATATAGTGAGTATTCCAATAAACCTGACAATCATTAAATGAATTTTGCAAGACACCATTAAAACAAAACCACAAACATTCTTTAGTGAAATCATCATTTAAATTTAAATGCTTTTCCTCACAAAGATCTTTGAAAAATTGAACCCACCAACTTGAACATGTTTTTTTAAAATGTGACCACCAAGTTTCAATTCTTTGGTTTGATGGAGATGTACCAAATGTATGAGCTTGACTACCACAAAATGGTGCATTGTCAAGTGATTGAAAGTAGCATTGAGATGCTGCAATGATCCCATTCTCTGTTCCACAGTCACTACGAGTCTGCAAAGGACATGCCCTATTCTTTCTTACTCTTCAGAATAAAATTTAGCTACACTCTCTGGCAAATTATTTGACAGTGTAACTTCTAACCAAAGAACTTTCCTGCTGAAACTATCAATTGCACCATGCACGGAAAATCCAAATGGCTTCAATATATCATATCCTACATGTGGCAATAAAACGTAGATAACAATAATTGCAATGATGATAACAGATAGAAAGTTAATGAAAACCGAAATAATAGAAATTGTTACTTACCATCAATGAGCCAGCACTGATTAGGTCCATATGATTTTCTCAAAGCACATGCCTCTGGATCTAGCTCCTTTAAAGTACATTCCACCAGTTTTCGGGGTACATTATGCTTTAGTTTAAGTATTTGCCACATCTTCCGATAACCAGCCAAGCATCCAGGACCTTGCATCTCATTCCAAATAATTTGCGCACAAGATCCTCCGGAACTGTTTTCTATCTGGTTAAATTGTAAGATTTAAGTCTGCGCTTTAGAGTCCGTAAATCCATTTCAATACCATGCTCATTCTTTAGTAGGCTAATTATGATATTATATTTATATCCATAATTAAAATAGTTCTCTATAATGTCTCTTTTATCTACAAAAGAATAGAGAAATTGTCTTAGTGATGTTTTTTTTCAAATCATACAATCAATCATCGTCATACCTGTAACTCTACAGCTGCAATAAGGACAGAAGTTGCATGGCATAAAAAGGTTTACGTTGCACGGTCGACAATCCGCCATGTTTGATCAAATGACAAGATAATTCATGTATCACAGATTATAAAGTATATGCGCGCGCAATGTTTTAATTTTCCACGGAGCATGCAACATTTTTCTACGGAACAGTAATCTAGGTGTGTACAGAACACGTCACTAAAATTGAAAACTGTTCTTTGTTATTAGTGGAATACAGTTGTTTCGCTGAAGTTGACTACTTTCGTAAGGCAAACTGTCTTTTTATTGTTGAATCAATTAATTTACACAATCAAAGCACGATTTTCTATAGAATGAACGTGTCACTAATGGGCCACCGTAGATGCCGGCTTCGAGATCATTTGAGTTGTATTTATTTGCCGTCGTGCGTTTTTGCTGACCATATTTATCGCTGTCACGGCTGACTTCGAATATTTTACCGTGTCAATTTTTATAGAGCCGACCCGTAATGAAACTCAATGGTTGTTTTGTAGCGTTTTCAAACTGTAAACGATAGGTGAACACTTTTCAAACTTTTATGGTTGTAGCGTAAAGATTTCATACTTTATCATGCCGTCATTAGGCGAAAGTTTGTAAATGCAGTCACTTTTTGTTGTGAACAAAAGCAGACAAGTAGCTACGGAGTATTATTTATAGCTTGGATAGACCTGAGATAAAGAACTTTTAATGGTGTTTTGCGCGAAATATTTGAATGATGAACAAAGAACTGTATACATGCATGCCTTTTACGAGATTTATTTTGTTGTGTTACTTGTGTATCGATCAATCATTGATCAAATTTCACCAAAAACCATTGCCAAAAAGCAAAAGGCTTGCTATTTTTAGAAGCTTTCATCCTACCAGCGTGCTCAAACGATGACCTTATATGGGGGTAAGATCTAGGGGAAGACAATGGCGTGCTTTACGTCTTCTTTCATGTCCAAAATTTAAAAGATAAATTCATTGCCATTTTGAACTAACTGCGTGTTCGTCTATTTTTGAAGCTTTATCACCTGGGCAAGGATTATCCTGCAGGCAAGGAGTACTTTCACAAGAAATTGCACGAGGCATTCATGAAGAATAAAAATGTGAAGGAACCGCAAGAGATTCAACGGCTCATCAATCATGGAAATTATGTTGTGAAAGAACTCGAGACATTGTACATGTTAAGAAAATACAGAATTTTAAAGAAACGGTATTATACTTCATGAAGTTTGCATCCCGTTTCTATATTTTATATAAGTAATACAACATTGCGTTCTGTCCTGATGATGTTATATTATAAGATTTTTGTCAAATTTGGATTAATTAAAGCTGCACTGCAATCGAGACAGATATAAATATTTAAGAAAAAATTTTCATTTTGGTTCATTTAGAAAAATGACACGTATACTGCTAGATTGTTAAGCAAAAAAAATAGAAATTCAAATGCTCGAAATTATCTCAAACTGCAAATTTCGTATATTCTATATTTTAACATGTTTTGTGGGTAGCCTGTACGAAGGCTAATCTCTATGTTTTACTCATAGATGTATCAGAACCTAGTTGGCTAACGTGTACCTCGCAGTCGTGACAAAATTATTATGAATTTTTTGACGACCTTTAGATTACTTACTATGTCTCGTTCAAGACGTTAAACAGATCAACAATATTAACTACATTTAATTTAATGACATATCATAAAACTGAAAAAATTCCTTGTAGTTCATGTTGCTAAGAGGATATTGAGGTAAACTCTGCTGTTCTTTTTGGCAAATACATAAGCTGAAAGTGGCATTACCATCAACTTGATTAGTTGTTTTTGACAGCTTATAATAAGCTTATTCCCAAATTCCATAGTGAATGGTAAAAGTAATATAATATAATTGTCATCTGCAAGCATCTCCTTATTTGATTTATACAAATTTATCAGAGGTGGCCTCAGGAAACAGAGACTGTATTAAGAGAGTTGGGACACCAGAAGTAAAATTGTCTAGCGTTCGCCAGTTTTGTTCTAAAAGCCAGCGAATATAGAGCAATAAATGGTGGAAAGACAAATTTTCTGTTGTGTTTTCTTATTCATGAATAGACAGCGATCCCTACCTTTGGAATTCAGTTGTTTATAGATGTCATAATAAAGAAATGCATTTATTTAATGCAATGGATGCAATATGTACGCCTTTAATACTGTTCTTTCCACAAGGAGCGCTTATGTTTCTATTCTTCATCGATTTGATTGGCGCTATTATAACGCAACAAAAAACAGTGCAAACATTTTTTCATAATTTATTTCCTATCTAAAAAAATAGATTTAATTTGCAGTTTTGGAACAAAAATGGCGGGTAATGCCCATATGATCTTCATCATAATGCAAGATGCAGAGAGCAATACGTGTCCCAACTCTTACAAATACAGGTTTTGCTAGGAACTCTCGACAGATGTTATAAAGGCCGATCACACGATCCGATTTGTTGGATCCGATTGTTTTGGTTCCGACTTTCGGATTCCTTCTCAGACGTTTATAGTCGTTTGAACAGCCATTTCTGTTATCCATTACATTTATCGACATATTTTTCAAATTATTGTTTTTGTCAAATCTATCTACTTTGCTAGTCGGTTTCGTTTGATCGTGATGGATGAAAAAGAGCAAGTTCTATTTCCATCCAATTTTTAGATTGACGGATCCGAGTATCGGAAGCTCACTTTATGTGTTCACACGATTCGTTTTTGAGGATCGGATAAATCGGATCGTGTGAACGGGCGTTAAGACCCTCCTAAAAGGTGGTTGAACCTTGGTTTTTATGAGTACGCCAAAAATTGCTGTTTAACAGATGTCAATGCAAATCTTTAAGTTTTATTGTAAAATTTAAACAATTCATAAATCACTGCATTAAGAATTTTGTGAAACTTAACCTGTTTTAGAAATATCTATCAATACAGTTGAGCCGATAAAGAGTACATGGTATATGCTATAATTGTCAGAATTTCGCTTATCGTCGGAAGGCGGACAACACGAGATGCGTATGTTCTCACATTATTTTAGCGACAGCAAAATGTGCATACATAATGTTTTCGCGGGAAAACGTACAACGTCAAGTATACAAATGTGTAGCATCAAGTTTTCACACTCCCCAGAGTTGAGCCATTTTGTGCTCAAGATTTCGGAGAACATATCCAATATAAAGATCAGCGTAAATTAATTAATTATCAAAATCAATCAGTTCTGCAAACGGTTGATGGGTTGTCCATCCTTCACTTATACATTAAATTCCTTTTACAAATCTCTTAGCTGCACGCCTTCTTATCTTACCCACTACCTCGGTGTTGCGTCGTGATCGGACCCTCGAGATAGCTCTACGCTTGATTAATCATTGTTGTTTGGTTTAGGAGTAATTGGTACATATTCTACAACACGCGTTAACTCCTTTACTTCTTTAATTGGAATGAGATGTTGTATCGATCTTTGTAACAGCTGCACTTTAACGTTTCCTTTTCTAAAGAGAACTTTCACGATAACAGAACGAACGACTCCATCAACTCCTAGAAAAAGTTTATCAACTTTTCCTAGGCTTCAAAAGTTAACACGTTTGGTCATTCTTCAATATAACGATGTCGCCCACATAGATTTCCAACGTTTTATTGTTACTCGATTTGATCGCTTGTTCGCGCAAAACTTGCAAATATTTCCTTTTCCATCGTGCTGTGAAATGCTTCAATAACATAAGTTGGTGACGTGATCTTTTTGTCAAGGAATAATGTGTACTAACGATTTCATAATGCTCGCTCGATGGCAGTACAGTGATTCGGCGTCCATGAATAAGATGAGACGGTCATAGCAGATATGACACGGATTCATTGTCA